CATACGTTAAATGGTCTGAAAACGGCACTGATGACATTTCTCCTGTTCTTTTAAATGTCTTCTGCTGGTGGTTCACGTCTCAGCCCTGTTACAGTAAGGTAGGAGTGATGTCAGTACAGAAGACCCATTAGTTTGGGTTCGGTTCTAAATTTTATGATCTTCAAACTCCTGCTTCCTGGTGTTGCTGGGGCTGGTGGTGGTGAACGGGTGAAGCTTGAAGATTTGAAGACTTTGGTCTTCTGAATGTGAAGTGTAAGGCCCATCTTCTCCTTTGCCTCAGTAAATATATGAGCAATGACAGTCCTTTCTGGTCTTCAAAGGCATCTGTAATTCCTTAATGAGGATAATTACATGGTGTAACAAGCAGGTAAAGGATGCTAATGAATTTCGTAGGACACTCATACAGTACTTCAGGAGGATATTCCAGTATTCACATTACCAGAGACAAGGTTTCACAGTCCTAATTGAACACTAAGACAGTTCAGTCAGCCTAGCAGTTGTGCATTCCTGACATTGCTCTGGTAATGAGGACATCTTTGGGATTCTGGTCATGGACAGTGATACTCTGTGAGTTGCCAGTGTTTGGACTATGGATATTTTGTGCCTGATTTTCTAGTCGTTGTAGTTGATATTTACAACTCCGTCCTTGCCAATGGTAAGGGCTACCATCTCTACTAACTCAGGCTCTAAAGTCTTCTGCTTCAAGAATTTGGTAAAGCAAAGCATAAGAAATCTTGTAGTTTTGTCATCTATTCTGGATTCTAGAAATCATCTTGGTGTGTTTGCTCCCTGCTGCTTTGAAACGGAGAGTCATGGATTGCTTTATTGATGCTTACAAAGAATTGTTGATTTCATTCAAACTGGCAAATCCATCTCCATGAAGTTGATGTTCTCCCTCTGATTTATCCCTCCCGGAAGAAAGAATGGACAACTCAGTTTTACGAGCTACTCTTCTCCAGCTCATCAGGTGTCACTCATTACAGTAATCCCACTGTCATGTCTCTGGAGTTCTCAGGTCACAAATGCAATGTTGCATTCTGACTGGTCATTGCTTGGACAGTATTAAGAACTCGATCCTGAACTTCAATGCTCCTTTGTGATCTTCCTTCTTAATACAGATGCAGAGGCAGACTGTGTTGAGGTCACTTTTCCTAGCTTGGGGAAAAGTTGGTTAAGACACAGTTCGAATTTCTGAGAAGTACTTCTGCTTCAACTCTTAATTGAGGATGTCCTTGTAACAGCTGTGTCCATGTCAAATAGGAGCCTCACAACATCACTGTGCAACTCCTATGAGCTGAAGAAGACAATAAAAACCATCGATAAAACCGTTGCACACAAGCTTCTAGATATCTTCACAAGAAATGTCTTTGAGCCGGTGGTACGTACATCGATAGAATAAGAGGTCATACTCTGGTATTTCCTTCATCTGCACGAATATCCATTGAGATATTCCAGGGGGATTCGTCTTCTTCTGCCTTTCCTGCTGTTGAGGATGTAAGAGAGAGAGAGATAAGATCACTTTATTAGCCACGTACAATTTCTTGCATTTGGAATTTGTCTTTTCGCATACCCCAGCTTGCTCTCCATGGCACACAGGCACACAGACAGGGAGAGAAGCTTGCTGTGATCCCCATTTGTTGAGAATGGACGGTACAGGGATACTGGCAGGCATTCACAGTTACCAAAGTGGCTTCAGGATTCAGGATTCAGGAGTCCTCCTGAACTTCATGTCAGCAATGACCCTACATTATTCATTACCCAAGTTCCATAATGTGGAACACAATGTTGATTGAATATTTATCAGACCATGTATGATGTATAGGTCACGTCTAAATTAAGTTTAATATTAGGCTTACTACACACAAGTAACTTAAAAGGATAAATCAGGTGTCGGCCAGTGCAGCTTTATTAAATTCTATTAATTAAATACGAACGGTTGAGCTTCTCTGTAGGACTTAATAATATAATTTAACCACAAGTTACCCTTTAAGTAGCAAGAAATGTCTGATTGGAACAGTGCTTTTGTGCTTATTCACTATCCATGCATATTCAGTAGCATCTCTTGCTTTTCAGCACTGTGATAAATTGCCCGTTGACCAGTATTTTCAATACATATTTAAACTATGTAAAATATTTCACAATTTTATACAGTACAATATCAAAATTCAAGGTATTTTTTGTATATGAAGGTGTAATTGGAAACTGCATGCTGCAGTCTTAGAATCGAGGAACATTTTCTGTTGCGGTCCTGTCATCTGTTTTTATAGATGCATGTTCAACGCAAAAGCCCTCCAATGACCTCCAATGACAGGTTAAAGTTGTCTTTGTTGGTATCATTAATGTTTATTTTTTACTTGAGTATCAATTTTTTTAACATCAGGATTGTTGCCTAGCAGAAAAATAATTAGGAAGAGCCAAAATAAGTGTTCCTTTTGCTCATGACTGAGACAAGAGCCTGGCGTTTTTAAAATAGTCAGATTTCAGATACACCTACTGTATAACAGTGTCATTCAGTGTCATTAAATAGCTTGCTTTATTTCTAATATGATGTGATGGGCTGGAAAACAAATATGCTTTGGAGTTTTATGACTGACAAGTTGAGGATTAGTACTTGGGTGTTACCGTCCTGACATTTGCAGATGTGCTCATTTAACCCCACCTTCCAACAGGAATTCATATGTTTTTCTGCAGAGTCTTACATTTCTGCTAATGGCGCATTAACCTTGACTGTGATTTAATAAAGCTTTTTCCTTTTTCAATCCTCCTTATTGCTGCCAGTCGGACCAAGAGGAAGAATCTGAAATAAAGCCGCAGGTACCCAAGGTCAAATCTCACTTCGGCAGGGCTCTAAGCCGATTGTCAAAAACACTTCAACTGAGAAGCAGTTGACGGAGTCTAAAGGGCTAATACAGTAAATTGGTCAAGCGCACCTTTAATGCAGTGCTTTTCATTCAGGTAGTCTGTTCAAAAGAAAATAAAACGATTGCACTTCTTTATATATTATTTTTTTCAAGGTAAGGTGTACAGTATGTGTTTCCACAATATAAAATAAGCATGCTACATTTGGTGGCATTACCAAATAAAATAGTGCTGTTCTGTCGTATTTTGCCTGTTTCTGGAAGATCGTGACCTAAAATCTTGGTTAAAACAGAAGTGAAGAGCACTTGATAACCGCCTCCGGCTCTGTTCAAGAGCTGTTTAACCGATCTGTCGATCATGGCGTTTCTCAGGGGGATGTGCCAAGCACTTCAGTAAAGGTGCTGCTTCCCAGACGCTAAAAGGTCAATGTGGTAAAATGCACAGCTAGGAGTTAGAGAACCAAACTGTCCTCTGGATTCTTTCAAATTAATATCTCTTTGTTTTTTTCCAGAATAGTTTCATAGGACGAATAAAAGGGGAAAATGTATTTGTCAAACATAGTAATCTGATGTTGGAGGTTGGTATGTGGTGAAAGGAAAATGCATGCAGGCTTTCGTAGGAGTTGAAATACAGACTTAAAACTGTGATGCTTGGAGGGCACTCTTTTTTTTTTGCAGTTGGGCTCAGGCTGGATATCCCCCTTACTAACAAAGTTAAGACTTCCCCCTGTCCCTTCACTGTGTTCATTTGACTGCACAGAGTATAGTCCTGTCACTGTTGATTTACTGACACTTTAAAATTTGTTTTGAGACACTTAACTGTTAGCAGCTTCGGTCTGGGTATTGTGTTGGGGTGAATGTTTTAGCACGTGTGTTCAGCTTGGTGTGTGGCACTCAAGAGTGGACTGCTAATGCAGAGCTTCAGTGAATTGGGACTGTGTCCAGAGTAGGAACCCGAAAAATACTTACAGAAGCACTATTTGGTCAATTTATCATGTAATAAACTGGCATACGATGAGCAATTTGTTGTTCTTCTTGAAGAAGCTCAGCATTGGCTGTTTAAATTCAAGGTTTATCTTTAAAATGCAGGTTAGGGAAATTTTTCATCTTCACCTTCCTGCAATTTTATAATTTATCAGGAAACAATTACGGCTCAAGAAGAGCTTGTGAAACATCAAACTAACATCAGTGAATTGAAACGCACCTTTTTGGAAACGACTTCGGACAGTGCAGGACTTACTGAGTGGGAGAAGAGGCTGTCAACATCTCCAGTCCGGACTTCCCCAAGGCTGGAAGATGCTCCAATGATTGAACCCCTTGTGCCTGAGGAAGTAAGTCTCAGTCCTGTTTGGTTATGCAGCGCAGAGCAAAAATTCCCATTGAAAAGCAGCAAAGTTACCACCTTGTAGCCCGCTCTCGTCACATCTCATAAAAAAGCAAGGCTAAGCAGCTCAGTATTGGGAAGGGAAGTCATCCAAAGAAAACCAGGTTGTTGCTGTAAGTGGGTGTGGTGGACCAGTAGACGGCGCTCTTCCCTGCTGAACCAGACCTTAAAAACCAGTAACTCAGTATGGTGACCAGAGACTCTTCTTATTGTGCTTCGGATGAGCCGTAGATCCGAGGTCTTGCATACTTGGTTGATAAAGAGCAGGGGTGTTGACCCATCGACTTTGGATGTGCGAAGTCTGTCCTGCCTGTAGCTCCCCAGTAAGTCAGCTGGTGAGGCAGCTTCTCTCTTGTCTGCATCAACTGCTGTGTAATGGGGTTGCCTGCAGCTCTTCACACGGCAGCATGTCAGTAGTGAATTGTGCTACTCCTTTGGCTTGAAAGTACTCTATACAGTAAATGCAAGTCATTATTATTGTTGTTGTTAAATAATAGTTCCCACTACCACATGATAAAAGCATGTTTCTGTGACAGAGCATTCCAGGTATCAAG